GGCTGCTTTGTTGCTTGAGGGGGGGGGGGACATGATTGATAGAACTTGTCGGGTAAATTACACCTCATAATTTGTGTACCCATACAATGGATCCTCCATAGAAAACCAATAGGGTCAAATACTCATACTCGATAGAAACTGAATTATCAATAATAATCCATTAAATGAAGATTAAATTTTATGAGAGAGGGTGCATGGGTGAGAGGACATTTAGTAGATGTAGTGAAGGTAATGTGGGGAGAGTAGTCCTACCAAACCCTTGAAAGGGAAGGTGTTGTCATCTCAAACAACGGTGGTGTGTTTAGTGCTTGAACTTAAAAATGTATGAGAACCTTGTTTCTTCATCATGTGAAATGGGGCACCGACATCAATGTACCATTAATCATGTTGCAGGTTGAGAGACATGGTGTGCGTTGTGGTTTTAATGTTGGTATGCACGGGTGGTACGAGTCTGGCTAAGTGAGCTTGTTGAGGATGAGTGCTTGCAATTCTGGAGCCAAGGTATGGCGGGATTGTGGCAGTCTACTCCATATCGTGGTTGGATTTGTGCGAGGGGGCACTACCCAAGGAAGTTGTTACATCTGATACGCCAAAAGAGGAGATGTCAAGTGGCAAATTTGGCCTGGTGAAAAAATTGCATCACTCTTTCCCTAACTACCCCCATGACCACCTCGTGAGGATTGTTGCATCCATGAATTAAGGGACTCCTGAGGATGGTGTGGAAGGACTGTTGGGGTGGATAAGAGCTATGGTTTGCTTAAGCTTTGCGATTTTTCATGGTGACATTGAACCCGCCTTTGTGGAAGAGAGGGAAGAGATATGATTGACTTAAAATGGATATAGTAGTCACATTTCTTGGGAAGGCCATGGTTGAGACTAAGCACCAGGTAGTGATGAAAACTGAAGAACCGACATTGATTGCTTGTTCAAAAATCATTTAATGGTATGACAATAAGCGGTAACACTTTGAAAACTTTGTAGCTGAGTGTTAGAGAACCGATTTTGCCAATTGATTGATATCAAAGTGTTGGTTATCGAAAAAATACCGACTGACTATTCCCAAGCTTGTTGTGCAGTGGAATCAGATTAAATGATCATATGAAGAGGATCCTTGTCTGAGTTGAGACGTTGTTCAAGTGTGAAGATTGGCTAAAAAGGCTGATAAGCCGAAAAAGAGGGTCACCATACGGGTTCTAAACGATGTTTACTACGCTGTATTAAATTTTAAATTTTGGTCCACTTTGATTTATGGTGATTGAATAATGTTAACTATTTTATGATAACACCTGCATTAGTATTAATTCCTTGGTGATTATCTGCGATTTTGAATTATTTTTTATGGGTGATCGCCTTATGTTTGATCTCTGAGTGTGAGAGTTACTTGTTTAATTTCAATATAAGTGATTTCTACTAATTAAAAACATGGAAGGAGTCACCTATGTATCAGAAAAGTTTATGTATCTGATATTCTAGAAAATAAGTATCATACGTTTGGGATTACATCTTGATTTTTTAGATTTGTAAAGTTCTTTTAGTTGTTTTTTAATAACTCGAATTCGTGTATCCTGATGGATATGTGTATACACATTTTCAAAACTCTTAGCCTTTTATAGCATTGTGTTATATTTTCCTAATGTATTTTCTCTATTTAAGAACTTTGAGTATATGTACTTTTTATTCTAACACTATAAGGGCCTGTTTACTAACAGAGATATTTTCCTGTTTTCTACTTCTGTTTTTCGTTCTCCAATTTTCTGTTTTTATTTTTCAGTTTTTCTATCTCTAATTTTATGTTTCTATTTTTTAGTTTTCCATTTTCAAATCTGAAAACATGTTCATCAATTTTTTCACCCAGTTCTCCAATTCCACACCCTTGACCCCTACCCCTACCTTTATCACGATCTTACCCTCTACCCATACTCCCCCACAACCCTTCATATATACCCGCCCATACTTACTCGTAGGGGTCGGGGTAGGGAAGTTGTGGGTGGGGGTGGGGTAAGGGGTATGGTCGGGGTGGGGTGGTAAGGTCTAGGGTTAGGGGGTTTGGGGGTAGTGGGTGGGTTAGTGTCGTGGTTAGGGGTAAGGGTGGGGTAGTGGGTAGGGTTGGGGTAAGGTAAGGGTAGGGTAGGGAGTTGGGATAGGATGGCGGTAAGGTGGGGCCGGGACCAGGGTGGGGCCGAGGAAGGGAAGGGGTAGGATGGCGGTAAGGGTGGGGGTAGTGGGTAGGGTTGGGATTGGGGTAAGGTAGGGGTAGGGAGTTGGGATAGGATGGCGGTAGGGTGGGCCCGGGATCCGGGTGGGGCCGAGGTAGGGGAAAGGTAAGGTGGGGGGTGGTGGTGGTGGGGGTAGGATGGCGGTGGGCCGAGGTAGGGGCATGTGGTAAGGGGTAAGGGGTAATATACAGGTGGGGGTAGGTTAGGGTGGGTCGGGGTGGGGTCGAGGTGGTAGGGGTGGCGGTAGGGTAGGGTGGATCGGGGTGGAGCCGAGGTAGGGGCATGTGGTAGGGGTGGGGTAGGGTCGTTATAAAGAAAATGGGTATGCAGGGTGGGGTGGGGTGGGGTTGGGTGGGTAGGGTAGGGGTAAGGTACGAGGATGGAGGTACCGGAATGGAATCGAAATCAGAGCGGGACCGGACTCACCACTAGGTGTAAGTATGTAAATTCATTGCAGCGGCACGGTAGCTTCTGCGTTTTCCAAATTTGGAAAACTAGTAAAAGTCATTTCTCCAAATCAATAAGGAAAAGAGAGATATGTCATTTTTTCCGTTTTGGAAAACGATTTGTTAAACGCGTTTTTCTTTTTCCCTTTCTCTAGTTTTCCAGCAATTTCTTTGGTAAACACGTTTCCTGGTTTTTGTTTTCCAGTTTTCTAGTTTTCTGGAAAACTGGAAAATATCTCGGTTAGTAAACAGGCCCTAATTATTTCTCTTGTTTTTAAATTTGGGAGTGGAGACTATAATTCAAGATGGGGGTTGTATTTGAGACTACGTAAGAGAGTATGATCTTATTTTCAACTGATTTGATAATTTGAAATCCTTCAATGCCATGGAATGAGAAAAACAAAATGTATGTATATATTTTCAAGCATGTCCTTATAATTTAAACATTTATAAATGCACTCTGTAATTTATAATGTTTATAAATACACTCCATAATGCTTAATACTAATAAATACGTAGTATATATGTACCTCTACATCAAAAAATCAAAATTCAATATCTAACAATTATTTAAAAAGCGTGGGAGCTTCCCTACGGCATGTAGGATTTTTCTTCCCCCGATCCATCGTACGGCATTCTTTGGATTTGGCTCACAATTTTGCTTTGTAATAGCTCTAAGTTAATTTTTTTAGCGAGGTTTGGTTGATTGATTGGCTATTTACAAAGTATTCAGTGACTTGGTCTTAGGAACGAGAAGATCCCAATGAAGCTCGGAGCAACGATAAGTTTTTCTTGTATAAGTTTTCTTTTGACGCCTGGTGTATGTTTCTCTTTCGGTCCTGTAGGTGCAGCTCAAGATTCAACGACGACATCGAAGTAAAACAAGGCAGCGATTGACCCTTTGGTTGAGAAGATTCCAATGGCAAATATGGAGGAGCAATATGATAAGCTGAAATTGGAGGATGAAGAGGAAGAGTTGATTTTCGATGAGGCAGGTAGTGACGCATGGGCAGAAGGAGATCAAATGTCTTCCCAGAGGAAGCTCAAACGACCGTTTTTGCATTTTGGCATGACCGTGTCGATAAAAACTATAAATAGATGAAAGGGTTAAGAATTAATTTTTCAAAATATCGTTACGTAATTACGTTATTTTAATGGAGACATGATGAATGAATTTTCTAAAAAGCTTGATTATCTTGATATAGTTGTATATATTAACGAGTTTAGAGTCATTTTTGCGGTATCTTGATTCTTGATTATCTGACGAAAGCCATCTAAAATGAATTACTTCCAATGTTCAGAAATACTGCTATAATATTGATAATTGTTAATGTCCAACTATATGAATATGATTTTAGGATGTAAGTTATTTACCATGTTTAAAGATATATAAAATACCCTTATATTGTCACGTATTTTTACTTTTATTTCATGAAATTTCTTATTTTGGTATATGGCCTTTTCTACTGTGATAAGGGAAAGGATAAATTGGTATATATGGAGTATATAGCTGGCGGAATGATTTGGTCAGTCCGGACGGGCGGAAATCGTCTTCCAACCAAGCCAGTTTAAGTTCTTTTCTGGTCGATTTTTTTATGAAATTTTATGAACATTTTTTCGTAAAACATTCACATAAAGTTTCAGCTTAAAATTCAATATAAAAGTTAGTTAAATAAATTATATAAAGCGCCATCAGTAATTTCTTTTTTGGGAAGAGCACCGTCAATAATTTATTGAACTGATTTCCATATTAAATTTTAGGTTAAATTTTGTGTGAATGTTCTACACTTCATTAAAAATCTGCTCACAACAATTCACAAAAAATGACCCTAAAAGCCTTCAAACGGGTTTGTTCGGACGGCGGTTCCCGTTGATCCGATTTGACCAGATCATTCTTTTATATGCTAATTAAAAGACTGAATGGTGTGTTTGGTAAACAGTCTCTCAACCCTTTTTGACTTTTTGAAATGACTTTGACTATATAATCTTGTCAAAAAAAAGTTAGTCTTATTATTTGGTAAACAACATTTTCAAAACTCATCAAAAAATAAAAAATAAAGTTAAGTTAGCTGGATATATACATATACTTCGTTTATTCATACGGAGTATCTTAAATGGTCATTTTACCGCTCAAAAAGCTAATCATAAACAACTATATTATCAAACAGTTTACTCCAACCCGCTAATAAAATGGTCAGTCAAAATGGTTAACAGAATCTGCCCATATCAATCAGCCGATACAATCGACAATCAGCTAAAAGTAGACACCTGATTGCCAAACACCCCAAACACCTCTTATGTATAACTGGAGAGTTTCTTTGCACAAGAAAAATAATACCCTGTGACTAGTTAAAGCCGCCGGCTATAGACATGATCCTCTGCTCTACCAACAAAAAATCGAAGCCACCATTTTCACTCAGCCAAGTGTCCGCGGAACGAATTTCTTCGTACACAGGAAAGTCCTAAAGCGAAAGTAAAGTCAACTCCGCATAAGACTTTTCAATCATCTCCGAAAAATTAGTATGCATATGCATATATGTCTACGAGGTTATCCAAATTTCTTAGACTCTGTTTTCGGGTGAGAATATCCAATTCACTTTTTCACATACTTCCATTCCCATGTTAGGGGGGCCCCATACCTTGAGCATGATATAAATTCAAGTATGATTTTCCTAAAAAATTACTAAATATGTGATGGCTAAATCACCATTACCATACGTGATACATGATAGCACTTTGAGACAAGAAAATGACTTGGTAAATTAAAAATGAATTGGTGCAATCTATTCCAAAGATGTGAAATATGCATGAATGAATTAGGATGTTTATAGTGGTGTTTTTCAATCGCAAATCAGAACAGAACAAAACTGATCAAATCAGACATAAACAGATCAGTCCAGATTTAAATAGACTAGACCAAATCATACTTCGACGGTTATAAAAAACACAGAAACCATATATCAACCGCATCAAACAAGACTTAATCAGGCCAAACTAGACCAAATCAGACAACACCAAATTATAAAACTTCAATCTAAATAAAAACATCCTTAACAGCATATCAGATCATACCAAAACAGACCAAATATAACTTAAACAGATCAGACCACACTTAAATAAATCAGGACAAACCTGATCATAGTTTGACAATTATAAAATACATATAGAGCTGACATTCACCAGACCAGACCAGAATTAACCAAATCATACCAGACCATATCAGAGGTAATTTCATTCCAATTAAAAATATCCTTAAAATCATATACTACCTCAGTCTCAATGGACTTTGCACTCTTTGAATTAGGTGAGAAATAAATGGTAAAATGTGTGGTTGAAGTTTCTGCAGAGGAGAGAAAAATGAGCACAACCACGAAATAGTCACTTTATTGGGAAAGAGCAAAGTTTTTTGGGAAAACAAACAGGGAGGAGTATATAATCATGTGGCTAAATACATAAGTTGCGTGACTTACGAGGGTGACAAAATTGAAAAACATATGCTCGGTAGAAAAGAGTAGAAAAGATCACTATCTGGCCAAATTACATAGATTTTGTGACTTCGGATGAAAATTTTGAAAAGACAGAGTGGGATGAAAAGTGCATATAACAAGGGTCATCGAATTTTGTCATCGCTCTATGCATTCCGTATGATGTAATAGTTGGAGTGTCAACATCCCCTTTCATTTCATATCTGACCATTGTTTTTGGATCTTTGGATCTCAATATCTGATCAATCTCATGCTTGGTAATTATGCTCAACAAGTTCAAATATTAAGAAGAATCAATTGTCCTGGATACTTGCAAAACACTATTTCCAACTACCATCTGTTTTTTATTCCAAAATCATAGTTATGTGCATCACAAAAAAGATCACTAGTCTTATAGAGAAGATCAATGAATAGTAATAAAATTCATAAAGAAACAAATAGCATTCAAACGGTTATACTCGCAAAAACAACACATAATATAAGGTGTTTTGACATCAATATTAGTAGAATAAAATCCAGAACAAAAATAAGACTTCAAATTTTCCAAAAAGTGACACTTACATAGTTATATAACTTTTTTACCACACCCAACAATGACAACCGTTAGACAATTACCTGATGGCATCATCTAGTGACCGATAATCTAGTGAAATTACACTAGTCAACCCCACATTATAACCCGGTCAAACCAACACCACAACCCTAAGGCTGCTGCCACCCCATCCCTGCCACCTCGTCTCCACCCCCACCACCGTCCTTCACTCTACAACCTCTTTGATCAACTGCCAACAGCCCGGCACCCCTGCTCTCATTCGCCATCCTCTACCCTAATCCCCGGCCGCCGCCCCACCACTAGATATACCCTAGCCACTACACTTACTCCTATTACTCACCCCAGCGCCTTCACCAAGTCTCCATCACACACCCCATTCATCGAACCCTAATAATCGCATGTGATCCGTCTCCTTCATCGTCACCTATTCGTCGTTGTTGGATTTAAGGAGCTTCCGCCATCGCTTGATTTGAAAAAAATGAAAGGGAAGGAGATGTTGGTTAGAAGGAGGAGAAGAGAGGAGGGGGCGTACATGAGGCGAAGGTGAAGGAGAGGGCAGAGAGGCTAACGGGTGAGGAAGCGAGCTAGAATGGGGTCAGAGGTATATTTGTCTTTTTATTGAAATATAGTCTCTTTGTTATCCAGAACTAGTGAAGTCAATAGCGGGCTATAGCGGTGTTATAGTGGAGTAGCAGAGTAGAGCGGGGACTAGGCGCTATGAGACTGCCTGGCCTATAGCGGAGCGGTTTTCAATAGCAGTTGTAGCGGGCGCTATAACACCGCTATCATTTGCTGGGCTATTTCAATGTTGGTTTGAGGAAATTTGGAAGTACATTTTACTTTTGTATGTTTTTTGAGTAAAAAAACCTCACTACACCCTCCAAATCATGTGGGGGACAAAATAACCCTACTAAAATAACTTAAAACAGAAACCAAGATCAAACATAACCTACACCATACATCTCCAAGTTAAGCTAGTTCAAGGTATCACAACAATCATGATTTTCTTATAATGAGATATGACTGCCAATTTATCAATAATAGTCTGGAACTTAAGTTTTAATTTTTAATATTTAGAGGTAAGGCATTTAAATTATTTGTTTCTTTTTTAAAGACACCGAGTCCTCTTTATTGGTAATTTAGTAAGTATAAATTTCATACCGTTTGAATAATATATACTCGAACAAGTATATTTTTTATTTATCATTTCTTGGAATGGATATGTCATATGTGCATGATATGTAATTGTATGCATACATATAATATGTGTTTTGCCTATATATTGTCTAAATAGCGGTCATCCCGCTATTGGCTATACCATTATAGCATTTTCGGTAGGGGTGTGCACGGGTCGGGTTCGGGCGGGTCGGGTTTGCGAACCCTAAACCCGTTCGGGTTTTTTAATTTAATTACTAGGCCCGACCCTTTGATATTTCAAATCGGGTATTTCGGATATTTTTAAGTCGGATATTATCAGATATCGGGTCGGGTTTCGGATATTTCGGTTATATTAAAAATTATAATTGGATAATTAATGTGTTTAAATGCCACTTTGACAAAAATTGTACACACTAGTGCACTAAACTTCCAAATTACACAAATAGTTTAACACAAATTGCACAAATAATTACACAAATAATTGAACACAAGTATTAATTTAACATATTCAAAGTACACACTACATAATTTAATATATTTCGGATATTTTGGTTATATCAAAACACATTATAATTGGATGGTTAATTAAAGTGTTGGAATGCCACTTTAACAAAAATTGTACACACTAGTTCACTACACATTCAATTTACACAAATAATTTAATAAAAATTGCACAAATAATTACACAAATAATTGAACACAAGTATTAATTTAAATATTCATATATTTCGGATATTCGGGCGGGTCGGGTTGGGGTTTCACAAACCCTACCCGCCACCCGGTCTAGGCCCAATACTAATCGGATTTTCGGTTTCGGATTTTTCGGGTCGGATATCCACTTCGGTTCGGATAATATCCGAAAAAAATATCGGGTTTTTCGGGTCGGATCGGGTTTTGCTCAGCCCTAATTTTCGGAGTCGGCCACTACACTCCGCTATCTGGGATTGACAACACCGTCCAGAACTACATTGGTCTTATGTTTGTTCATTTGAAATTCTGATGTACGGAGTAATATTACTAAAATATTACTATTCATTACTACAACGTAGTGTTGTAGTAACTTAAGTTCAGAACTTGAACATGAATTACTATGATTTCATTACTACTCTAGTAACTAATCATATTTTTGTAAATCATCTTTAATTTGGTCATATTAATGTAATTATTTCTACTATTTATGTTATTGTTATTCTAAGTTTTAATCGTGTCTAGTTAAACTATTAGTTTTAATGAAATCCTTTATATTTTTTGTTTGATCCATCTAGAATGACATATATAACATGCACCGAAGAATTTTTGTCTTGCTCTTATTTTAGATCTGTAACTTGTTTACCATTTTGTTGAGAACAAACTACTTAAGAATAAATAGATATTAAAAACAAATGAATAAATCGATATTTAACTCAATACCAAGCACGTCCATATATATTATCGGAAAATACCCCATACCCCAAACTTTTAACGGGTGTGAGGTATGCTCTCCAAGTTTGTATGTGTTATAAAAATACCCCAAATTTATATAAATATTTATCTTAGCACCATCATAATATGTTTTTTCTTTCACAAATGTAAGTCTATTGTGTTAAAATATACGAAGTACTACATAAATATTAAAATACTTTGGGCATTTATAAGGATGCAAGTATTAATCTAAGCATCAATATTTGAAATAAATAACATTAACAAATATGTTTATATCTCTGTTCTAAAAAACATTCTAGGCGCCCGACTAATCCCCGTCTAGGCGCTAGGCGGTGGCCAGACACCCCGATTTTCGTCTAGGCGCTCCGACTAATTGGTTTGCCGTCTAGGTGAATTAGTCGGCCGCCTATGGCGCCTAGTTGCCCGCCTAGAGTGCCTTATCGGCCGCCTAGGCCGTCTAGATTCGTCGAACATTACTTTACTTTTTAATTTTATTTTTCCAAGCAATATATGTACTATAACTTTAGTCATGAATATAAAGAAATGAAGTTGTAAATTAAGATAAAACTATACATGTTTGTATATATACCTAAATTTTATCATTATTTATATTTATAACATAATGAAGTTAAGTGATTAGTTATCATATATTACGTATGATTAAATGTGATAAGTCTATCTTTCATATTTGTTAATGTCTATGTATATATGTATTTTATACACTCAAAAATACAATATTACTTAGCATATTTATGCAAAAAATATAGATAAAAATGCAATTTCTAGGTCTCTGACTAGTCCACGACTAGACACCCGCCTAGCCACCTAGGCGATAGGCGCTGGGCTGACGCCCGACTAGCGCCTAGCGCCTTTTAGAACATTGGTTTATATTGTTAACTGCACATTCAAAATTGCTTAGAATATCTAAATTGTTTACTTAACACTATAAATTTACATTTGAGAAAGAAAAGCATATTATCATGATGTTAAGATAACTTTTTATATACTCAAAAGTTCAGAGTATTTAATTTATTTTCTCTTATATATTAATATAAGTAGTATGTGATTTATAATTTATATACAATTTAACTTTTTTCTCCTTTCACTTGGCTCCAGAGCTATGAGCAACGACGGTGTAAACCCTGGTCACTCGGCTTATTCATTCTCTTCGTTTCTTCTTTTACCATGCTGAAGTATTTTTCATATTGGCAGTTTCATTTAATATGGTATATTTCTTTCCTAGTTGGCGGAGCCAATAGAGGACATCATAACACCCTAGAATCTGATTAGGAAAGAAGTGAAGTTAGCTTGGATGGCAGATCATTTCTATTAGCGAACACTCGCTTTTATGGTTTAGTTGAATGTTCACTGAAGCAATTATCTGATGATATCGGACTAATTTATCAATCAGTAATTGATCCTTTGTTTGAGGTTGGCAGGGTTTGTTCTACACAATTTTCTCTTAGATTTTAACATTGGTTGATGAATGTCACGAGCTCTTAGGCACTCGACCTCCTCCCGAACCACCAGCGAGTTTTGAAAGAAAATTAGTGTTCCAATGGGTCTTCTTTCGGTGGCTATCTAGTCAAACAGATGATTTTTTTTTTGGGGGGGGGGATTTTAGTTGTTGATCAAACTCATGGATTGATGCGAAGAGCACTTCGAGATTCTCATCGGGGAGGAGGAAGAAATGATTTTCCATAGAGAGCGAGGGGATCAGTTAATAGGGTACCTCAGAAAGACGGTGAATTAGATGGAGATGTATCCCATAGAACCCGAACAAGGTGGATGAGGTGGAAGAGTGAGTCGGAATTTCTATGTGATCGAGGTATTCAAAAGGATTTCTATGTGGCAGAGATGTGCGTGCTACGATATTGTGATGTTTGTTGTGGTGCATGATGTTTGCCGACGATATTGTATTGATTGATGAAACGCAATCAAATGTTAAAGAAAAGTTGGAAGTATGATTTCAAACATTAGAGAACAAAGGCATCAGACTGAGTGGGGCAAGACCGAGTACATGGAGTGCAAGTTTGGTTGATGTAGAAGCATTTGTAATGTGGGATTACTCTAGATGGTAAGGAGATATCTGTCAGTGATATGTTCCGTTACTTGCGCTCCATAATTCAGAAAGACGGTGAATTAGATGGAGATGTATCCCATAGAATCTGAACAAGGTGGATGAAGTGGAAGAATGAGTTAGGATTTCTATGTGATTGAGATATTCAGAAGGATTTCTATGTGGCAGAGATGTGCGTGATGCGTTGGATGTGTGAACATACTAGAACGGACCGCGTGAGGAATGAGAGAATCAGACCAAAGGTGGGAGTATCACCTATTGAAGCTAAGATGCGGGAGTCTCACTTGCGGTGGTATATTCTTTTTATCATCTTTATTCTATCATTTTTATGTATATCTATCTCTTTTTTATATTATCTTTTTAGGGGTAATTTGAGTTTGCACCCCATTTTATTGTCCAAATTGGACTTCGCACCCCGTTTTTAAAAAACTTTGTATTTCCACCCCAACTCCATATAAGAAGACAAAAATGACATTTTTGTCTTTTCATATGGGGTTGGGGTGCAAATACAAAAAAATTTAAAAAACATGGTGCAAAGTCCAATTTGTACAATAAGATGGAGTTCAAACTCAAATTATCCCATCTTTATATCATACCTTAATTGTCTTATCTTTGTTTTCTTTTTTGTTACGATATCAGGTATCGATTCATGTTAACTGACTCCAAAATCTTTTGGGAGTAAGGCTTGGATGTTATTGTCTGTTTTTTCTTCTATGCTACAATTTTTAGCTAGATCTTTAATGTTTTGTGTTATCTCTTTTGTTGAGTCGGACTATTTGAGCTGGACTATAGTTGATTTGGTGTAGTTGTGTGGTTCAATTTTCTAATACGTCTTCAGATTTATAGCAAAGAGACTAATTAGTCGGTCATGACTGATTTAAGTCTAGCTGCTTAACAAGTGTTTAGCAATTCGTTTTTTCTTGAGTCATTAGATCTTATCTCATTGTACTTCTCTATTTCCTAATTACAATTTAATACTACCTATAAAACTATTTACAACAAAAAATATACGATTTATAGTAATGATACTATCATGTCTAGTTGTGTACACCGCAGATATTTCGAGTTATAAGATCAGTTGCTATATGGATTAATTAATTATATTACTAGTTTAATGCTTCTATTACGGCGAAATTATTACTGCGCTGCACGTACGTACACAACAAATATCATGGGCCTTAAAGATCGTGACTTTGGGTTAAAAAAAAAAGTACATCTGACCGGCCGGAAAGTGACCGGCCGACCGGAGCTGAATTCTTACCTGGAGCTGGAATACTCGGAGAGTTTTCCGGTGGCGGAGAAGACGATAAGCCCAAGCTCAGCATCGCAGAGGGTGGCAAGCTCTTCTGCTTTTTTGAGAAGCCCTCTTCTCCGTTTGGCATACGTCACTTGCCTCGCCGTCAAGCTCTCGATCTTCTTGATCTCGATTCTCTTCCTCACCATTATAACGTTTTCTGTACGTCTCAACCAAACGCGGTGTTAATTTCCCAGATATTATACACACAGATTGACACAAAAACAATCAAAAATATCAATATACTCCACTTTCACACCAAAAAGGACGAGTTTTTTTTTTTGTGTAAAAAATCAAGAACGGCGCAACCCTAGATTCCTTCACATACAGAGAGAGAGAAGAACTGGAAAAGTTACCAACTTGAACTGGGGAAAATATATATGGGAATTAAAAAGAATTGAAAGAGATTAGAGAAATTACAGAAATGGGAGAGGATGAGAGCCTAGTATTTGATCTGATTCCGAAGAGGATAGGAGAACCTCTTATTTGATCTTTCTCATTACTCCGTATTTCCTTTTTAACTATTGTTGTACTTGTACTATTTTAGGGGTTACTTACTTCCTATCCATCCCTTTTAGCTTACTTTATTAGGGATAGTTTGGGTAGGCGCAAAAAATTGAAACTATCTATTTATGGCCGAACAGAGTAGCCACTACTTTCTATAAGTAGATTTCTTTCAATTTAAGGGCATGTTTATCCTACTATAAAAAGAACTACTCTTACATGTTTTTGTTTCTTGTTTTGGAAAGCATAGAGTAGCGAAAATATTAGGGTTATTATGTACTCCATAATATGTAAACTCGTAATATTTCCTTCGTTCTTTTTTAGTTGCAACAATCAACTTTTACACATTTGTCAACGCACACATTTGACCGTAAGTATATTTTAATCTCTATTAATAAAAAATATTAAAAATCAGATTTTGAAAATTTGTAATGAGATAAATTGAAAAATATATTTTTTAAAAAAATAATTTTCATAAAATAATAGTGTAAAATGTAGTCAAAGTAGATCATGTGAACAATGCAAAAAATCAACATGCTGCGATTAAAAATAGACGAGGATAGTATAAATACAATCCTTCAGTCCCACAAGAGGCTAGGGTTGAGTATATTTTGGTCTAAATCCAGGAATGGAACTACGCTATAATATCAATGGTGTCAAGATATTAAAGTAATACTACGTACGATAGTATGAAGTATTATTTTAAAAATATAAATAACTAATAATACGGAGTAAGTAGTTTTAGGGAATTTTTTTGAATTGAAATAAATAGATTTTGGGATTCTAAAATTTGACTATTATGCTTTTCTTCTTAAAATATGACTAACATGACAATATTTAAAGTCATCTTAGAGCAACTTCAATATTACAATGTGCACGATGCACATGTGGCATGAGAGACATAGACATGCAAATATTAGTAAGCAAAATATTTTTCTCCTTATTTGAACGGTCTTATATGTTTTTAGTAATTAAGTTCTTCTCAACAATATCTAGAGAAATGTCTAGATGTAAACATTGTGGTTGACATTATTACCAAAATTATATGACACCATGAAAAGAAAGAAAGAGAAATGACAGTCATTTATCTTTATGTATCTATCTCTCTCATTTCACATATGCACCGTGCACATTGTAGACCTGGAGGGTCATTATTGTCAGAGTAGTTGCAGTGCGAGGCATTAACATGGTTGTATTTACTACTCATTTACTACCTCCGTTTTTTTTTTTTAATCTTCACAGTTTGACTTCACACAAAATAAGGAAAGAAATTTGACTTTATTGTAAAGTACACTATTGAGGCACTGTTTGGCACTGTAGAGACACTGGTTGGCACTGTTTTGATGTAGATTTCTTTGCCAAAAAAGGAGATAAGGAAGTGTGAAGTTTATTTTAGACCGTCCCAAAAAGGAAAGTGTGAAGTTTATTAAAAACCGGATGGAGTATTATATTATTTTTCAATTATGGTGTAATGACACCATTTTTGGAAAGAAAAATATAACAGGCCTATTTTGGAATTCTAAAACCCGTTTACTCTTATGTAGAGCAATTTTCCTAGCTTTTATATTTTAACTAATTAATAAACATAGACTTTTGTTGTTTTATGTGAAATATTTATAAAATTATTTATTAGTTTCTCATGCTCACTTTAGTGGTGGATCCAGGGAAAAAATTTAGTGGGACAGAAATGACAGTCATTTATCTTTATGTATCTATCTCTCTCATTTCACATATGCACCGTGCACATTGTAGACCTGGAGGGTCATTATTGTCAGAGTAGTTGCAGTGCGAGGCATTAACATGGTTGTATTTACTACTCATTTAGTGGTGTTCTTGATAATATTGAAATTGACTGAATCGACTAAGTCCATTGAAATTTTGATTAAAATTGTTGAATGGAATGAATATGCTAAATTATGAACAAGTTGTATTTAATATATTACCTATATTTTATTAATAAAATAAAGAACATGATACATGAAAAATAGAAACAATAGTTATTTTTGTTGGAAACAATAAAAGGGGTCTAATATGCAATTAATTAATAACAGTGGCTACCATCATGAAATAAAAATAATAAAAGTGTAGATACTGAGATAATATACTCCAGGTATTTCTTTTGATGAAGTGCGGGTCAAATTGAATATATTACACTAAGGGAAAATGGAAACTAATAATCCAACCTTTTAGCGGTCTTCTTTCAATAATCCCACCTTTTGATTATTCATGAATAATCCAACCTTTGCACATCATCTTCATTCATTGGTCCCTGGTCGGTTAATGACCTACTATTCTAAGTTATTTTCTTATCTTTGCAAAATATTATCTTTGTGAAAGATGAGATTTATGGTATAATGATTTGCAAAGATAAGAAAATAGCTTGGAATAGTAGGTCATCAACCGTTCAAGGACCAGTGAATGAAGATGAGGTGCAAAGGTTGGATTATTCATGAATAACCAAAAGATTGGATTATTATAAGAAGATCGTTAAAAGGTTGGATTATTAGTTTCTATTTTCCCTTACACTAAAGTGTTTTACATGAATATATTCCGTATATGAATATAGTTAGGATGTTTTCTTTTGGACTGTTTTCAATCCCAGACTAGACCAGATCAGACCAAACTTAAATAGACCAGACCAGACCAGACCAGACTTTCATAGTTATAAAATACACAGAGAACAGACGTTTACCAGACCAGACCAAACCAGACCAGACCTGACTTAAATAGACCAGACCAGACCAGCAAATTTCAGTCCAAAAGAAAACATCCTTACTCAACTGCTACCGAGTAAATTAAATACGGAGTAAATATTTTTGGAATGTGTGTTATGTGTCTAGCAAGATTGGCATGGTCTTATTAAACAGATGTATAGCAACGTAACCGTTTTTATTTAAGATAAGATAAACCATGGCTACATTGTTGAATCGTGTGCCTAGATAGAATCTTAATATTCTTTTGATTTGCTTTCATTATTTTAATCAAATAATAAGTAGTAGTACTGTGAATTAAGTTACCGTTAATTATTACGAGTATGATTGAATCAATTAGTTCTTTCATTGCCGTCAGCAACTTTTAAGTATAATTACGAAAAGATTGTTTGGGACGGATGAAATGGTAAAATAAAAGGAGTTTAATAAATGAAACATGGATGCACAATTTTATTGATGGGCTTAAAATAATAAATGAAGTTTCAAAGCCTATCAAGGTATTTTGTGACAACAATTCTACGGTGCTTTACTCTAACAACAAAAACAAGAGCTCGAGTAAGACAAAACACTTTTTTTCATGAAAAAGAGTAAGACACAAAACACATTGAAGTGAAATACCGAGCTATTAAAGAAAGGGTTCAGAATAAAAGGGTCGATATTGAACATATAAATATAAACTTCATGCTAGCAGATCCTTTAACTAAGGGTCTCCTACCAAAAGTTTTTCATGAGCACACTGCTCACTTGGGAGTCATTGATTTTAAGGAACCTCAGGTTTAGTGGGAGTTTATAAGTTATGATTGATGTTCTATTGCTTTATGAATTTGTTTTCTGATCAGAATAAAGTTTGACATTTAGTGTATTCTGAACAATTAAGTTGTTAAAGTTTATTAAAGAAGGGTCAGTTGAAAATTCACATGTACATGCCGCATTTCATGTAATTTTCATTCTACACATTTCATGATTGATCTATGTCATTATGTTATATTGATAGTTTGATACTAGTAATTATTGGTGGTATAGTTATGTTTAAAATGACAAAATGGTGCAATGGTTCTATATTAGTATGTCTGATGGACAAGATTGTTTAAGGATGTTATTTAATATGATGGTATTTTTGAGCGCATAAAGTTAACACATTTTGTTAAGAATTACATATAAGACCCAGTGGGAGATTGCTGGAAACTATAAAAGGGGCTTAATATGTAATTAATTAAAATGAGTTTACCATCAGACAAATAATACAAATACAGTGATTATTATTCATGAAATAATAAAAGTGTATATACTGAGATAATATATTTCTTTTGGTGACGGGTCAAATTGAATATATTACACTTAAGTGATACAACGGTTATGACCCCCGGTGTGTGTAAATTAAGAGATATCAGTAAAAACATTGTAACGGAAAATGGCCAAATAAATTATTCTAAATAATACCATTAATGCGCCAACCGTTACAATGTAAAACTACTCCTATAACTATCTTATCAATAATAGGACTAGAACATCTCATATACGATACACGGAACCAGAAGGTTTAGTCGTTCAATCGACGGGTGTTGGATTCTTGGGTCTTCTCAAAGTGCTAAGCAAATGAATTCTCAAGGTACGGTTCTAATATTAATTCATACATATTTGATTTCATGGATTTTGTTAGGTCCCCTAGATTTTAATGACAAGTATAAATTGTTTTGATGATACCACCCCTTTTTGTTATTCCTATCTATATTAGACTAGTATCTCATGTATTTGTTCTACTTATGTTTATTATAATGTGCTATCTTTAGTGATTAAGTACTCATAAAAAGTAAAGAGTACTAAAAGAGAAGAAACGTACCAAAAACAAAAAGAAAAGAATCAAAAAGAAAAGAAACAAAAAAAAGTTAACTGGAAAAATCAGAATTCAGCAGCCTACTGAAACATTCTTCAGCCGGCTGAAATATTGGTTTTCCAATTAAGGCATCTATATAATGCATACCAATCAAATTTGAACTTAATCGTGTTGAAAAACGCTTTCATATAAATATTTTTTTGGTGATGAAATGCATTTTAAATTGATTAACTAGATTTTTTTTCCTTTTAAATATATATCAATAATTTGAGTTTGAACTTTATTTGAAGCAATCGAAAACAAATTGCAAAAAATCAAAGTCGGAGATCCAATGATGGTGATGACGTAGTGTCAATCTACAAAAACGATAAATTCATCTTTAAGTATTAAAAATGGAAAGAGGAGGCATTAATTCAGATCACATTAAAATTAAAATATGTAATAAAAATTGCCAATTCATCACCCATTCCCTACATTTGTAAGTGGAATATACTACGAAGTATATTACAAATTTTGAACTTGTAATACTCTGGATTTGGAAATGAATTCTCAGATAGTTTTAAAAGTAGTGTGGATTTAAAAATAGAAATAAAATAAAACGGCTAATTATGAAACATAATTGAGTTTTTTTTCGAATTAATGTTAATTAATTAATTAATTACGAAAATAGGGTTGGGTTAAAAGTATTTACCAAAATACTGCTGGTTTAACCAGGGTCGGTGAAAGTCGCCCAACGGTTGGGCGACTTATAAGTCGCCAAACGGTTTGGCGACTTATAAGTCGCCCAACGGTTGGGCGACTTTCCCTTAAGTAAATTCATCGCCCGACCCCAAAACAGATCTGTGCGTAAAACAATTCCCAAAACCTCCTACCCGCAGCGACGAACGGACGAAGGACGAAGACGACCGAGCCATTTCTAACTCCGGCGAACCTCCATCTCCGGCGACCCCACTCCGGCAAACCTCCATCTTCATCTTCAACACTCATTCTTCTTTGTTCTAGGTAAATCAAACGCCATTTCATCTCATTTTGAACTTAGGGTTTTAAATGTTAAAAATTTCGAATTTTTGGATTATGAATTGATTGTGAATTAAGTTGTTGTGAAATGTGGATATGTATGAAATGTTGAAATTTGATTTTAAATTGATTGTAAATTTAAATGTGTATTTTGACATTTGGGCATTTGGGTAGACTAGAATGTAGCTAAATTTGGGTATTGGAAGGTAGACGTGAATGTAGATATCAAAATTTTGGTAGTTTCATATTGAAATGTGAATTGTTTGTGAATTTTGACTTTTGGATATATTACAATTTTGGTAGTTTTTTCTATTGAAAATTTGAATGTGTTTAAAGTGTGTATATTGATGCCTAATCATGAATGTTGGACAATGAATTGTTATTAGAATATGGATTTCTCAAACTTCCCAATCATATGTCATTGGGGAGGAAACTATTATGAGGATGCTGGGCAAATATGCCTTGAAGGTGGTAGAACCGGCTTTGTCATGGTTTCTCGTGGCGCTTGCATGCTGGAGATCCTTCAAAAAATACATGCAGCCACAATGATTCATCCTAGCCGTTCTTTGCGGTTGAAAATGAAATTTCCCATGAACGGGGGAAAGTACATGCTTATGCCCCTCATTGATGAGCTAGCTATAACAAATATGTGGGGCATAACTCAGATGGAAGATATGTCGACGCTTGAGCTATACATTGAGGAATCTTGTGACGCCTATGGTACTCAATCAACATCAAATGCTGTCGTATCTACGCATGATGTCAATGCAGGGGTGAATGCAGGGAACTCCTCAAAGGCTCCTGTACTGGACATGGTTATACAGGAAGATGGTAGGTATTTGCACAACGGTGCATCATTTGTGGATGGGCAGGGAACTGATGATGATGCTGACGAGAACATCAATGGTGATGACATGACAGAATCTGATGAAGATGATGGTGATACTGTCACAAAAACAGCCCCGTCTAGCCATTTTACTAGAATTTATGATCTCCCTGAAGGGTTTACTGATGCGTGGATGAGTGGATCAGGTGAGAAAAGGTTTACCCCCGATGGTGAGTTTGAGGTCGGTCAACAGTTTGACAACAAAGAACAAGTCATCAACAAAGAACGAGGGGGGGGGTCCGCTGGGTAAGGTTCTATTTAGAGTGAATTACAATTAATGTTTTCGTTGAAAGAAAAAATAATCATTTCAAAAAGGATGTTAAAAAAAAAATAATATATTATTGAATAAGAACTAATACTATTTTGTTTGTGTGTAGGCATGGAGGTGACAGCGGATCCTGGGCCGAGTGATCGTTCTGTCCTGACACTGCAGGCCTCGCATAGGAGTGAGGATGTTTGGCTTGGCATGGATGTTCAGGTGGATAGGTGCCGCGAGCACCTGCGGGGTTTGTCGCATTTGCACGTCGACGACAGGGTACTAGCGTATGTTGGTGCTGCAGGTTTTTATACTCTTCACAGATTAGTGGCTACTGTGCCTCTAGATAGAGCGCTTCTCACTGCTCTACTTGAGCGTTGGAGGCAGGAGACGCACTCATTTCACCTCCCAGTTGGTGAGGTGACAGTGACATTGGGAGATGTTGTTGTACTTACCGGGTTAGAGGTTCATGGGAGAGCTGTTACAGGCACTGCTTGTCGACAGTGGGTGGATGAGTGTGAGCGGTTGTTAGGTATGCGCCCCGTTCTTAGGACTGACCTTCAGGGGTCATCCCTGAGGATGCCATGGTTGAGGGAGCACTTCCAGGTGCTTCCTCCCGACGCTGATGAGGTGATGATCCAGCAGCATGCTCGGGCTTATATATTGATGATGATGGGAGCCTCCATTTTCGCTGACAAGAGCGGAAATGAGGTTCAGGTGCTGCACTTACCTTTGCTAGAGAGGTTTGATGTAGCAGCACAGTTCAGCTGGGGTAGTGCCACCCTGGCTTACCTGTACAGACAGCTTTGTCGCGGCTGCCAGAGAGGAAGCACAGAGCTTGGGGGATTTTTGCTACTCCTCCAGATTTGGTCATGGGAGTATATCCACATTGGCCGTCCCATTATAGTCGGATATCATGGCATTGATGGACAGCCACTGCCTGATGAGCCTCCACGTCTTCTAGGACCTCATCATGTACGGGGCGAGGACCCTCTAGGCCGTCGGTATGTTTTCAATCGTTTGTATTAATGTGAGTATATGTTTGTGTGTAAATACATTAATAATATCCATATTAATGATACTGTTACATGAATGGTTAGATGGCTATATGCTGGTCTATCTCGCATGTCATCCGCTACTGGGCTCGGTGTGTACAGGGATGCATTTGATCGGATGTCTGAGGACCAGGTATGGTGTGGGTAGTATAACATTAACTATAATATGTAAAGAAAATCTCCTAATTTTGTATCTTTATGAAACAGATTACATGGATGCCGTTTACACCTGAGATGTTAGCAGAGTTGCCCCCAGCTGGACGAGAGCATACTCACATATGGCGAGCACGTGTGCCGTTGATATGTTTTGACATTGTTGAGCTTCATTTGCCTGATAGAGTCTTGCGACAGTTTGGGTTTGAGCAGGTGGTTCCACGGCCTATCGACACTTATGTTGAGCTGCATAGGCTGGATAGGCGTGGGAAGCATACAGAGGATTGGGCACTCAGACATGTCCGATATGTGACTATGTGGGAAAGGAGAGCTGAGCTAGTTGTGGCCGGGACACCGACATATGTGCCATCTGTTTCAGGAGACTACATGGGATGGTATTACAGCATCACTCGTTTGTTTGTGTCTCCTTCGTTCAGACTCCCTACTCATCATTATCAGCCTAGTTCCTTAGCTTTGCATCTTACGGTGAGTATATTACTAATTAGTAAAGTAAGTCATTTTATTTATGTAATATTTGTATATATTTCAATGTAAATGTAATTGTGTTTCACATTTCAGACACGAGCTTTGCAGCGCATACATCAGCGGGCTACTGCCACAGTGACTGATAGTCCAGATGTGGACTTGTATGGACAGGCTCTCACAGGCATTGCGTCCTTGTGTTCAGATGTGTTGGGGCGAGTCGACTACGGCCATCTTATACACATGCCCCCATCTCAGGAGATGTCATCCACGTCTAGTGCAGCGGCGGCTTCATCATCCCAGACGCAGCATGAGAGAGTGGTTCTTCAACCACGACAACGGCGTAGGCGTAGACAAGAGCAGCAACATCTCCATGACGAAGCTGGCGATGGGAACTTGTAGTCTGTCTTTTGTATTGTAGTTTTTCTTATGCAGTAGATGTTGTAGGAACAATTTACAACATTTGACGTATTTTCTCTTGTAAAGTCTTGTATGTTGTCTTGATGTGTTCGAGTCTGAATATTAGATGATTACTTGTTATGAATATTGAATGATTGTACTGTGTTATACCGGTTATTTTCAAGGTGTTTTTTATGTTGATGAGAGGGGGTGTTATGTATGTGGTTGAGAATACGTGTGTTGTATGTTTTATAATGTGTTTTATAATGTGTTGTATCTGGCTCGTAACACTTAAACAGGAGAAGAGAGACCTTATTTATAGCAAACAGATGAGTCCGGGTTGAATTGGGGCGAAAAATCTGCTGAAATGCTGTTTTTGGACCTAGGCACGATCGTGCGTCCCAGGGTACGCACGATCGTGCGTGGCTGGCAGTAGCTGCTCGCCTTCAACCATATTTCAGGGGTAAGTCGCCCAACGGTTGGGCGACTTATAAGTCGCCAAACCGTTTGGCGACTTATAAGTCGCCCAACGGTTGGGCGACTTACCCCTGACCGTGGTTAAGGCCCAGCAGTATATTGGTAAATACTTTTTTTTCCAGCATTATTTTCGTAATTAATTAATTAATTAACATTAATTAGAAAAAAAACTCTAATTGAAATGATAGAAAAATAAATATTAAAATATTATAAATTAAAACTTCTAACATCTTTTTTATCACTACAAAAAATTCACTTCTTACAAAAATAAGATAGTTGATTAGCATTTGTAATATCACATAAAATGTTCAAAAAACCTAAAGGAGTTGGTGGTACAAATGTTGTAATATTCACAATCGTGTAAAAATATAAATGCAATTTGCTATTGTTATCGCCAAACATAATAAATACTCCGTACAAATATGTCGTATTAGCTAACTTTGTCATAATTAATGTATGAAATGTGTAAAAATTAAAATGATACGAGTATACGCTTAAATATGTATATTCATGTCTAAATTATTTATTTATATCTTAAAAATGAAGAGTGAAGATAAATGCAAAGTGTGTGTGTGTATATATATATATATATAGAGGAATAATCTTGTCCGGTAGCCCCCGGTCTGAACAGTGTCCAAACATGGCCATTTGGGGCACTTCCCGGTGGAATTTGTTGATGAAATTTTTTGAGCATGTTCTTCATCAAGTCTAGTTTGTCCATACCAAATTTCAGCTCAAAATTCGTTCGGGAAGGCATTCAAATCATTTTTTGAAGTTGACTGCGTCAAAATGTACATATAAAAACACAGCCAACTTCAAAAAATGATTTGAATGCCTTCCCGAACGAATTTTGAGCTGAAATTTGGTATGGACAAACTAGACTTGATGAGGAACATGCTCAAAAAATTCATCAAAAAATTCCACCTGGAAGTGCCCCAAATGGCCATGTTTTGGACACTGTTTGGACCGGGGGCTGCTCGACAACATATTCACCTGAAGTGCCCCAAAAAATTCATCAAAAAATTCTCTTATATATATATGTGTGTGTGTGTGTGTGTGTGTGTGTTGTTTGGTGTTCGGTTCGGTTTACGGTTTTTCCGTTTTAAACCAAACCAAACCAAAGTACCAAACCATTCGGTTTGAACAAATGTTTACCAAACGGTTTACTTAAGTAACCCAAATCAAACCACCAATGTTAATAATATATGAATTTTTTTTTAGTTTCTTTAGTTCGGTTCGGTTTTGTATCAGTTTTTATTGGTTTCGGTTCGGTTTAATACGGTTTGAAAGAAATAGTACCAAACTCAAACCAAAGTCAAAGTCAGATCTCTGAGCATACAGTTAGAAAATGAAAAAGAAATTGTAAAGAAGCGAACTTTAGAATTAGATCAGCTTACTCAAAAGGTAGCTGAACTAACTAAGAAAGTTTTGTGAGACTGAATTAGAACGAAACATTGCCAAAGCTGAAAATGAGTTTCTACATGAAAAAAGAGGCCAAGCTTTACACAAAAATCAAAGAGTTAGAAGGATTTACTAGCCAAGAGAGGACAGACAGAACAAACTATTTTTCTGAACCAGAACAAGGACACACGGTTTTATAACTCTAAAGGAGGGTCT